TGACAGAGCAAGACTCCATCTCAAAACACAAACAAACAAAAAACAGAGAAGTGTAAAAAGCAGAGGTAAGCTGGGCGCGGTGGCTCAAGCCTATAATCCCAGCACTTTGGGAGGCCGAGGCGGGTGGATCACGAGGTCAAGAGATCGAGACCATCCTGGTCAACATGGTGAAACCCCGTCTCTACTAAAAATACAAAAAATTAGCTGGGCATGGTGGCGCGTGCCTGTAATCCCAGCTACTCAGGAGGCTGAGGCAGGAGAATTGCCTGAACCCGGGAGGCGGAGGTTGCGGTGAGCCGAGATTGCGCCATTGCACTCCAGCCTGGGTAACAAGAGCGAAACTCCGTCCCAAAAAAAAAAAAAAAAAAAAAAGCAGAGGTAGCCTCAAGGAAGGGACTACATGGCCCTACCCTTCAATAGACATTTCTGAGGATCACAGATCAGCGTGGTAAAGGTCATTCATAGTGATGACTGTCAATCACAAAAAGGCTGTGTTAGCCAATAGTCTTTGTGTAATGAGACAGGGGAAGAGGTATCATATATTTAAAAGGCTTCTGTTTAAAATGGGCTACAAACATTTTAAAGTGTCAGAATAAGCGTCATATATGTAGATGCCCTATTGCCTCCAATTCCCACACTTCTAAGCATAGTCAGGGTGAAGTGAGAGTTGCATGCATATGTTTTCCCCATGCATCATAGCCAAAGATACTTTCTTACTACTTCTTAATCTCATGGTTATTTGCATTATTTTAGTTACAGGAGCTAAATACCCTGAAGCAGCAAAAAGCTTTCATTATGGACCTGTTCAGAACTCAGAATATTGCCATAATGACCATTATGTCTTTGCTGCTATGGTAAGTAGTAAGTGACCTGGAAATGCAGACATCCAGCATGTAAGTATGCAACTGATTTTCTTTGACTCAGAGGAACATTATGGCAACACCTGGGTTTTCCTGAGGAAAAATTAAGATTATAAAGTTCTAAATTATTTTGAAATGCCTCGATTCAGTTCATGGGACTGGATGCTGAAAAAATGTCACTGGGTGCAGTGGCTCACACCTGTAATCCCAGCCCTTTGAGAGGCTGAGGTGGGCAGGAGTTTGAGATCAGTCTGGCCAACATGGTGAAACCCCGTCTCTACTAAAAATACAAAAAATAGTCTAGCAATGGTGGCGCATATCTGTAATCCCAGCTACTCGGGAGGCTGAGGCAGGATAATCACTTGAATCCAGGAGGCAGAGGTTGCAGTGAGCCTAGATTGTGCTACTGCACTCCAGCCTTGGCAGCAGGGCAACATTCTATTTAAAAAAAAAAGAAAAAAAAAGAAAGGCACATGGAACAGTATTTAAGTCTGCAGTACTGGGGCCCAAAGTTAAAGATCCCCTCTCCTAAAGTTACGGGATTGAGATATCATTGATGTCCCTGGGTAAGGGTTCCCTCCCCACCAAAAATTATGAGATTAAGACTACTGATATCCCTGGTGCCTAAGGCAGAGATGCTAATTCAGCTCCTGCTCCTAAAACTGACCTGGCAATTGAACAGTGAGGCTACAATAACCTAAATCCCCATTAAGTGGATTGGAGCCTTGATAAGCTTTTTACACTTGCCAATAGCAAACTAACAAGTGGCTTTAAGGCACAGAAATAATGAATTGGCTTTATAGATTAGATTTAATAATTTATCTGCCAAGAAAAAAAGAGAAAGGAAAAAAGAAAATTCCTACTCTATGATGGCAGTGCACACATGCGCACACACACACACACACACACACACACACACACACACTCCATCTCTGGATGCTCGTAATTTACATGGAGATGCCTACCTGAACTCTTTCTTCTCTGCCTTGATTGAAGTTCCAGTTTATACACACACATACACAAAAGATCATCAGAACTGGTAGATTGAAGCTGCAGCTAGTCCAAGTTTATTATTATTATTATTTTTTAAAGATGGTGTTTCACCATGATGGCCAGGCTGGTCTTGAACTCCTGACCTCAGGTGATCCACCCACCTCGGCCTCCCAAAATGCTAGGATTACAGGCGTGAGCCACCGCAACTGGCCAGTCTAAGCTTATTTTTAGGGCCATCCTACTTGGTAATTAGAAGAGATCGGTGACAGAACTTATGCCTCTGAATTAAGCAAGTGTGTCCCAGGTACATGACCTTCTTAGTTCTTACATTTCAGCATATATCTCTGATGCAAATGTTCTTAGGTAATAGTGTTATTAAGCTAATAAAAAATGAGTCGCTAGCTCTATCTAAGCTGCTCCTATCACTTGCTAAATGGGAAAATCACTAAGATCCCTTGAGTAGTAAAGTTTAATTATTTGTTTTGTTTATGAATTGGTCCTTATGGTTATCTGATTTGGGTCTAGTATGTATAAAAAGACCCATCAGTGTTCCTGAAAGCATTTTTCAAATATCCTCTGCTTCTCGGTCATGTTAATAATAAGCAAATTTCTATACAGGGGCGTCTGCATAGTGCAGTTGTAACAGAAACGCAGATTCAGTCACTCACAGCTTGCAGCGTCCAATTAACAAGAGCAAGGTCTGATGTAAGGAAAGTGACTTTTTATTCCAAAGCTAGCTTAGGGGGAAGGGTATCGGCTTCCTGCCTGAAGGGTACCGCTTCTCTTTTTGGACGAGAAAACAGGCACTTTAAAAAGGCAGGAGAGGACGTGAGCAGGTGAGGGTCCCAGTGCTAGCTTGCTACCTTATCTACTGGGCAGTTGAGTTGGTGCCTCGATGGGCAGAAATAGGCTGTACATATGGCCAAAAACTCTAGCAGGCACACTTTGGGTTGGAAATTGACTGTTATATCTTGAGGAAATCTTCTAGGGGGTGAGAGTCCCACTCTGGAGCTTCTAAGCACATAGATAAACTTGCCCTGCAGGGAGTGTCCAGTGAAGAGGAAGTTAAAAGGCACTTCGAGGGCGGGGCACAGTGGCTCACGCCTTTAATCTCAGCACTTTGGGAGGCCTTATCTACTAGGCAGTTGAGTAGGTGCCTTCATGGGCAGAAATAGGTTGTACAGGTGGCCAAAAACTCTAGCAGGCACTCTTTGGGTTGGAAATGGACTGTTATCTCTTGAGGAAATCTCCCAGGGAGTGAGAGTTCCACTCTGGAGCTTCTAAGCACATAGTTAGATAAACTTGCCCTGCACAGAGTGTCCAGTGAAGAGGGGATTAAAAGGCCCTTGTAGGGCCAGGCGCAGTGGCTCACGCCTGTAATCACAGCACTTTGGGAGGCCAAGGCGGGTGGATCATAAGGTCAGGAGATCGAGACCATCCTGGCCAACATGGTGAAACCCCGTCTCTACTAAAAATACAAAAATTTAGCTGGGCGTGGTGGCGCACGTCTGTAGTCCCAGCTACTTGGGAGGCTGAGGCAGGAGAATTGCTCGAACCCAGGAGGTGGAGATTGGAGTGGGCTGAGATTGTGACACTCCGCTACAGCCTGGGGAACAGTGCAAGACTCTTCATCTAAAAAACAAAACAAAACAAAACAAAACAAAACAAAGGCACTTCTAAAGAGCAAGTAGAAAGTAGGGAAAAGGAGGGATGAGAAAAGAGAGAGAGAATAAACTATCTCTTAGAAAAAATGAGGGTACTCAGTTACATAGTAATTTTTTCCACAGGGAAACCTTTTTTTTTTTTTTTTTTTTTTTTTGAGATGGGGTCTGGGGTCTTGCTTTGTCACTCAGGCTGGAGTACAATGGTGCGATCTTGGCTCACTGCAACCTCTGCTTCCTGAGTTCAAGCAATTCTGTCTCAGCCTCCCAAGTAGCTGGGATTACAGGTGTATACTACCATGTCCAGCTAATTTTTTTATTTTTTAGTAGAGACGAGGTTTCACCATGTTGGCCAGGCTGGTCTCAAACTCCTGACCTCAGGTGATTTGTCTACCTCAGTCTCCCAAAGTGCTAGGATTTCAGGTGTGAGCCACCATGCCCAGCCCACGGAGAAGTTTCTACATGGAAGTTAGCTATAATGATAGGATATACAGGCTGCACTCTGATACTTGGAAGCATTAAGGGACATTCCTATTTGCCTGAAGAGAATTAGAATTTACTCTAAGTGGATCCCACAGTATGACCCTTGTATCTTCTTTTTTGTTAAAGAATGAAATCTGGATTTTATGTTCACTGATGTGACTAATAGTTTTTCTTCAAATAATAGCTCTAAGAGATTGAGGAGGTACAAACTATTCAGGAAATAGAAAAACTTGAAATCAACTAACTGAGAAAAGATATTGTTGAATTTGGTATATATCTAGACTAGCATTGTCCAATAAAATTTTCTGCAATGATGGAAATGTTTTATATCTATGTTGTTCAATGTAGCAACCACTAGCTACACGTGACTATTAAGAACTTGAAGTGTGGCTAGTGTAATTAAGGAAATGAATTTGTAATTTTATTTAATTTTACTTTATTTATTTATTTATTTTGAGACAGAGTTTCGCCCTTGTTACCCAGGCTGGAGTGCAATGGCACCATCTCGGCTCACCGCAACCTCTGCCTCCTGGGTTCAGGCAATTCTCCTGCCTCAGCCTCCTGAGTAGCTGGGATTACAGGCACACACCACCATGCCCAGCTAATTTTTTGTATTTTTAGTAGAGACAGGGTTTCACCATGTTGACCAGGATGGTCTCGATCTCTTGACCACGTGATCCACCCGCCTCGGCCTCCCAAAGTGCTGGGATTACAGGCGTGAGCCACCGCGTCCGGCCTAATTTTACTTTATTTAAATTTAAGTAGCCAATGAGGGTAGTGGCTACTTATAGGACAGCAAGATATAGACAATTTCTTGACCATCACAAAACCTTAGAGAGATTCACACCATCCCATTGTCATTTTTGCCTTTTTCTTTCAGGATGCTGACCTCAGTGGGTTACTTTGCTCTGTCTCTGGATGCTCCTAATTTACATGGAGATGCCTACCTGAACTGTTTCCTCTCTGCCTTGATTGAAGTTCCAGCTTACATTATAGCCTGGCTGCTACTGCGAACCCTGCCCAGGCGTTATATCATAGCTGCAGTACTGTTCTGGGGAGGAGGTGTGCTTCTCTTCATTCAACTGGTACCTGCAGGTAAGAAGTTAACCAAGATGAAGAGCTTACCAGAAAAGACCCACATATTGACTAGGCTGCTTCTGACTCACTGCTCCCTGTTTATTCAGCCTTTACATCATAAGCTATTCATAAGTCAATCGGACAGGTGATTGCTCACTACGAATGTTGTTTCCTGTGTTCAACAAACAGAAGAGACAGCCTTGGAGACGCAGAAAGCACCAAAGAGGAAGAGTAACTCTCCCAGTCATCCCCTTCACTAAAGACTCACCTAAAATCTCCCTTTGAGTCACAGTCATGATTCCTAATTTTTGGCTACTGTCAAACCTTTTCCCTGGGTGTATATTTAAGTATTACAGTGAGTAGAACATGTTGGTTCCAGGATACATTCAGTGGTTTTCTGGTCTTAATCTTTAAGTAGTTAAATAGTGCACAAAAGGATATATGCTTCCCTATTTCCCTTGTGTCTGACATTCTCATATTAAAATATCAATAAATTATTGATAGTAGGGCTGGGCGCGGTGGCTCACGCCTATAATCCCAGCACTTTGGGAGGCCGAGGTGGGTGGATCACGAGGTCAAGAGATTGAGACCATTCTGGTCAACATGGTGAAACCTCGTCTCTACTAAAAATACAAAAATTAGCTGGGCATGGTGGTACACACCTGTAGTCCCAGCTACTCGGGAGGCTGAGGCAGGAGAATTGCTTGAACCCAGGAGGCGGAGGTTGCGGTGAGCCGAGATGGTGCCATTGCACTC